TATTTTGGATCTGGTTGCTGTGCATCGCATCTGAAGACTTTTCTGGATCTTTCCCAAGTCTTCCAGAAGGCTCTGGGGAGCTTTTAAAGATGAAATTTGTTCTTGTGTTTGGGTCTCTAGATTCCCTAGGAGACCCCTTGGGTACAAGTGCCTCTTGGGCCTGCCCTTTAGGAAGACTGACGGCTTCTACTGGAACTGGTCACTTTTAGGCTTGGGTACTGTTCTCAAGCTCTGCGAAGTACTGGTAGTTAGCCTTATATGCAGGCCTGTTTCTGAAGAATAATTTCAATTAACAGATCCATGTCTTAGATAAATGCAAAATTAAAACAATGTACAGGAAATAACTCATCTGTTTAAATAGTGTTTTGTGTGTTCTTGGGTTAGCAAGCTTGAAAAATGACATTCATTGGCGGAATTCTTTGCCTTAAACATCAGAATGTTGTTTAAAAAATGTTACTGGTTCCAATTACCCCTCACGCAAAAGCTCTCATATGTGTTCTTCTGTGCACCCAGCAGTATGGTGGGAAAGAAGGAATTCAGCCTAACGGGATGCTTCCTACTGCGCCAGTGGCACATAGGTACAGATGAGTCTGAGGTACTGTTATTGTGTATTACCTGGTTTTGGATCGCCTGCAGTTAAAGTTTGTGCCTTCTCCTTGTTTATACCCCAGCATACTGGGGTTTCTATCAATGACCATTTTGAATTGGGAAGTTAAGTCCCTAGGAGACATACTTGGGATAAAGACGTTTTTATGGCCGCCTGTCTGGTTTGCTCACTCTGCATCCACAGAGTACCTCCTATACCTGGTTACTTCGCCAGGCATCAGGCCAAATGCTAGTAGACCTCCAGATGCAGGCTGAGGCAGGTATGGCAGGCACACGCCCAACAGTGTCTGGACCGTGAAAGCTTTGCCTCCTGACCACACAGGTGCCTAAGGAAATGCTCTTCAAACCCACTGTGTTCTGATGTGGCCACCTGCCTTGCATCAATGATTTGCCCTACCTCCCTGTGCCATCTAAAGCTGACTTTGAAGAAAGGTGGCTTTGCGATGAACAGTGTCAGATTTCAGAAGCTTGGTACAAACAGCCAGTAAAGATGGGAGCCCTGCAGTGTGTGGACGTCGTGGCGAGAAGACCCAGTGTTCAATTCTCAGCTTTGTTTAGAAAGCAGATTTAACATAGAAGCAAATTATAAAAAGGAAAGTTAAAACTAGTAAACTACACTGATATTTTGCTATGAAAATACACATCCCTTTGAACAGTAAAATAGGAATATTGAATCTAGTTTTTGCATAAATGGCTATTTCTTTCTACTTAAATTTATTTCCTTTTCAATTCTCTGCCAGCCACTCTTATAATTCTATGCCCCGTGGTAGTGGTGCTTACTAAAATAGTGTGAGTCTGCCAGCAGTCCCACACAGACATCTGAAATGCTCCGTTTCAGGATTGTACACTTTATTCTGCTGTGGTTTGCCTGAGATGTCTTATTCCCTCCTCCATCCCAGCACCTTTGCTAAGGCAGGGGAGAATGCGCTTCCATAAAGCTCAGGAGTCAGAGAGCACTTCCTTACAGCCTCCACCTGCCCCATTAGTGCCAGGCACATGTGGGCCAGCTCTGATCTGTCCATCTGATCTGTCTATCGGCTTCCGCACGCTGCTGTGTGACTCAGGTCTGAAAGAGCTGCAAACCCACATCATGACCAGGCCCATCATCTGGCTTAGTGGGGTTGTCACAGCAGACCTGGAAACTAATTTCCTGTGTAGAGCAGGTTGCTTTCCTGATGCTATTTTAGCTTATGGAGCTAGAGCCCAGGAAATTATTTTGAACATGACTTTGCCTTCTTCTTTCTGCTTTAAGAAAACTTACTTCTTAGTGATGCTTGGTGATGGTGGCACAACATGTGAATGTACCTAATGCCACTGAATCATGTGTTAAAATGCTTAACATGGCAAATTCTGTGCTATGTATAATTTACCATAATAAAAGGCCCGTTCCTCTAGAAATTGCAATTTTTATTAAAAGTTTAAATTGTACTTATTATTAAATATATGAGAATTTGATTTGTACTCTGGACTTAACGTTCCTATGGTAGAGTGGGTTATTAATAAAACTTGCAGTCTTTAATGCCTTCCATTTGAGAAATTTGAGATAGTAAAAACAAAGTTTATCAGCAGTAAAACGACAACACATTACGTGCCATCATCACTGTGTTAGATATCTGTGAGTGAATACAGCTTTATGTGCATTTCATTTAAAAGGTTCTGAGAGTGCTGTTTGGAAAACCCCCAGCACTTCCCGTGTTGGTGTCATATGTGCTTGTAGATTTGGGAGGGTCCAGGTGTGACAATGGAGCAAACAGTGGCTCTAAAGTCAGGAATAGCACATGGGGGCTCCGAACCATGTGCTGACTGAGTTGCTGGGCAGTTCACATCATTTCTTAGGGCTTCTGTTTCCTCATCATAAAAGATATTTTAAAATGGGGTGAAACTTACCTCATGGGGATGCTGTAAAAAGGAAATGTAGCCGGGCTCGGTGGCTCAGCCTGTGATCCCGCGCCTTTGGGAGGCTGAGGTGAGTGGATTGCCTGAGCCCGCGGATTCGAGACCCGCCTGAGCAGCGAGACCTCATCTCTACAATAAATCAAAAAATCAGCCGGGCGTGGTAGCGCATGCCTGTAATTCCGGCTACTTGGAAGGCCGAGGTGGAAGGATCGCTGGAGCCCAGCAGGTCGAGGCTGCGGTGGCCGGGAGCGGCCACTGCACTCCAGTCTGGGCGACAGAGTGAGACTCCAACTCAAAAAAAAAAAAAAAGGAAATGTAAAAATATATGTAAAAGAGCTTTGAGAAGTATTAAATGCTTGCAACAAAAAAATATGTAAACATTCTTTTCAAGTCATAAAACAAATCAGTAGCCATTGGTGACTAAAAATCATGCCTTCCTGACTCATTTCACCCACCTTATGTTGGTCGTCATTTACAATTTTCAACACCTGTTCTTCATGGAGGCCTGCTACCATCTGAGTGTAAAGAAAAGTGATCTTGCCCCTGTGTATTCAGAAATATACTCAAGGAATTGCTCAAGTAACAAATACTTTAAAGGCTCTGGAGGCAGAATAATCAACATTCTGCAACATGATTTTCCAGATCCTTGCTGCTGAATGGCATGATAAATAAAACTGCATTAGATGGAGCTACTTTCAGTCATTAAGCTTCATTTTATACAATTTGAGATGGAGCTCTGTTATTCCAAAACTCTAACAAGGTGGGTTGGGTTAAATCAGGGCTCAACAGTACATAGCTTTTCATTAAGGCCAAATAATCGATATTTATAGACAAGTAGGTAAAGAAGTTCTGAAAGTTGTATGGCTTTGTATAATCAATATTTGCTAGATTTAATTTTTCATTATTTTAGTTACCTAAATGTTATGCTTAAGCATCTTAGTTCAGGACATCTAAGGTTTAGTTCAGGACATCTAAGGTAAAGGAAATGAAGAGTCTGTCTCCAGCAACCTGTGGTGCATTCTTTCATGTTTGGTCTGTTTCCTGTCCGTGTTTGCTGCCCCCCCCCCCCACCGCCCCCACCCCAGCTACTCAGTCTTTGCAGTACCCATGGAGGGGCACTGGGAACATGAACTCTCCCAGGGGCACTTGGGACTTCTCTTCCCAGCAGGGCCACCCTTGATGCACCCCACATCATCTGATGACTCACCCTGTAGCCTCAAAAGGAGACATTGCCTGTGTGTTGCTACTCTGCTTCCCCAAGCTGAAAATACTTTAGTTGGTGAAACTAGTTCTGACATTTTGTTCTTCACAATTATTTTCAGGAGCAGGCAGAACTTTGTGTATACATAATCCCTCATGCATTATACTTATTAAATTTTACTGACCAAAATGCCATAAATTCTTGTGAACCTCATTATTTCTGAAAATGACAGCAAAACCTCTGTGGATTACCAAAATTGTCACATACAGGCATCGTATGTTGCAGAGGAATCACAATCCACAATGCAGGAATAATTGGTATAAGGATGTGTTGTGTTTTGTTGAATACTGCTGTTTTTTGGTAAAACAGGAACATACCTGATTATACCTGGCATTATAGAAAACTCACGTATTAGATAATTCTGTAATTTTTTAAACCTTTGAATGCATTCCATTATTTTAAAAGAAAGAGTTATACTTTCAGTTATATTTTATTTAGTCAGAAATGAAATTTTGTGTGTATTTTTGTAGTATACAATAATTCGCTTGGTGCCTTTCTTCCTAAAGCTTCAGTGTGATATCAACTTCAGTTCTGATACATTTACCTTAGCAAAATCTAATTGAAATAAATATCCCACACAAATAACTAACCCCACTTTAAAGACATTGCTTTGGATTTAAAAACCCATCTTTGTCCCTGATGACAAATTTAATACCATTTGTTTGTAGACCATCTAGAGAAATCAGATGAAGAAAAGAGAAAATAAAATCACTCTTAATTTGCCACTCTGACATGAGCTCTCTGTGTCTACTGTTCAGTCTCTTTTAGTGGCAAATGTTAGTTAAGCACACCCACACTCACATTTTGTGGCCTGCATTTTTGTTGTTGGTGGGGTTCGCCACCATAAGGTGAACTGATTGAATACTGAGCTTTTAAAATAAATAATAAGATACCATGAAAGACTTGGTGGAAATGCCTGTGTACATTGATACAATCCTAGGGTAGGAAGGACCCTTAAAAGAGGAAAACCATGAAGAAAATGAATTTGGCATAGGCAAAACCATGTTGTACCACCATGAGGACCTTGAGGTGACATAAACGTGTTTTCAGGTCTTGAAGTCATCCTCCCGGAGAGAATTCATTGGTGATCCCTCTTTCCAAAGGACCTTGTGGTGAAGACACAATGCTTTAAGCCTTAGTTGATTTATTCTTTCCTTCTGTGTATGTTTCTAGCTTATGCTCCTGTTGTGTCAAACAGCCAAGTCACACTTTCTTTTCTTTAACGTTCTGCCTTTAGGTAGCTGCAATTAACCCAAACCACCCCCTTGCCCAGATGCCTTTGCCTCCATCAATGAAAAACTGCATCCAGCTGGCAGCCTGTGAGGCCAACGAGCTCCTGCCCATGATCCCTGACCTCCCAGCTGACCTGTTCACGTCCTGCCTCACCACCCCCATCAAGATTGCCCTGCGCTGGTGAGTGCCCCCTCACCTGAGCTTTCCCTCAGGATCCTAACTCACGTGGATCCAAGACATGCTGTGCTCTGTTGTCTCTTTTTGTCATTTAGGATTCCAGGTAGATGCTTGGGCTTCACTCTTTGAGAGGCAGATTGTTTCTTCCTCCTAGTCAGTTAGTTCATGTTTAGCTGACTGCTTTGTGATTTCTAAGAACACCCTCTCCCCATCTCTGTTCATTGTAGAAGTGTCTTAGTACCAGGATTGGTCATACTAGAAAATGGACTTCCTTTTGGGCTGGGGTGGGGGTGGTATTATGGAAAAAAAAAAGTTATTTAATTCCTTTGTTGAAATATATTTTTTCCATTTATTCTTAGCAGTTAAAAAAAAAAGCCATAATTTCTTTCTACCTCCATTCTTTTTAGAAGACCAGAGTACTTGGGAATATAACTGAGGAAATGTATATTATATTCCAAGACGGTAGAACCTGCATTTAAGACCCTACATCACTGGCAGAACTCACAATGGGATATGTATGTTTCCTGCCTCCAAATCCAATTTTCTCCCCTAGACCATCTTACCACTCTTTAATATCTACCTTCTCATTTTATGTTTTGCTGAGAAGCTTATATGTCGTAGCTGTTACCAGCTTATAGATAAATATATCTCCCGTGAGGTGCAGTGCCGATGACACGGCAGACATTGCACTCTTGCTAGGTCCACTCCTGGGGCTTCTGTCAAGATGGCCTATAACACACAAGACTCATAGTCTCCTGGTTTCTTACCCCACAACCCTAGCTGGACTTTGGCGACTAACAACAAAGTGATCAGACCCTGTGAATGGCCATCACCTGGGGGAGGGTTGCCTGAGGTTGCCTTGAGCTACTGGGTTGTAGAAAACTTGACCTTCCTGCTCTGCCTCTGCAGCCAAGTCTAAATCAATCCCAAGCCCCTGAGCTGACGGATTCATGATGTTGGTATTGGCTGAGGTGCAGCCCTGGTCACTCATTATCTCTGCCCCCAACCTGCTTAAAATCCCAGGACTGCAGGAACCCCTAGAGAGGGATCTCCTTTTGGTGTTACTCATCCCTGCAAATTTAGAGATAAGGAGATCAGTAAAGGGAGTGACCGCTGAGCCAATCCCCCCACTGCACTTGGCTGATGCAGACTAGGCACGAGAGAGCCACACTCCTCTGCACCCAGCAGAGGAAAACTATACATCTGAGGATCACACTACACAAAAAAGAGAAAACTGAAGCAGAACTATTATAAAACAAGTGTAATACATGTAATCAAAGAAATAAGGGAAGATGCTAGTAACAAGATGTATGAATAACACTGTGGTTTGAATGTGTCCCCAAATTCACAAATTGGAAACTTAATCCACAATGCAACAGTGTTGGAATGTGACTGAGTCATGAGGGCAGAGATTAATGTTAAAACAGGAGTGGGTGATAACATTAATCGGGAGAGCAGGTTATTAGAAAAGCAAGCCAGGACCCTCATGCGCTCTCATACTCTCTTGCCCTTCCGCCATCCTCCATTGGATGGCACAGCAAGATAACCCTTATCATACACAACCTCTTGACCTTGCACTTCCCATTCTCCAGAACTGTTAGATATAAATTTCGTTTTTGGATGAAGAGAATTTGCTTAATGGGCACAAAAACACAGCTAGATAGAAGGAATAAATTCTAGTATTTGATAGTATCGTAGAGAAAATATAGTTAGCAATTTATTGTATTTTTCAGAATAGCTAGGAGAGAAGAATTATACCCAACACAAACAAAAGATAAATGTTTGAGGTGATAGATGTCCTAATTATCCTGATTTGATTTTTACACATTTTATACATGTATCAAAGTAACCATTGTACCTCCAAAATATGTACAACTATGATGTATTAATTTTTACAATACCAAAAAAAGTCCTTTATAAATTATCAAGTCTGTTGTATTCTGTTACTGCAACACAAAATGGACTAAGACAGATAAGAAAAAGTAATACTAAAAAAGAACCAGGTAGAAATAGAGGTAAGAGAACTATAATGATTGAAATAAAGAACACAGTAGATGGGACTCCTCATAGTAGAGAACAGCTGATGCCCAAATGAATGAGCTGGAGGATTGCACTGAGGAGCTCAAAGGAGATGGGAGGAAAGGATATAGATGGGAAATATATAAGAACAGCTAGGAGATACAGAGAAGAGAAATAGAGGCTCCAAATTGCAGACAAGAGATGTGATGAGAAAAAAAGAATAAGGCCAAGGTGAAAATACCTCAGGATCACAGAGATGCATTCCCCCAAATTGGAGAAAAGGTGGAATCTCTCAGATCAAGAGGGTTCATGCAATACAGGAAGAAATGGGAGAACTGCAACCTTGGCACCTCCAATGAGGTTGAAGACACTCCTAGAAAGCACCTGACTGGAAGCTGCATTGTTTCTGAATTGCTCTCCACCCCACCCCCATTTTTTGTAGCAATAGGGTCTGTCTCTTTCTGTCATCCAGGCTGGAGTGCAGTGACACGATAATAGCTCACTGTAGCCTTGAACTCCTGGGCTTAAGGTGTCCTGCTTCGACCTCCCAAGTAGTTCGGACTACAGATTCTGGCTACCACACCCAGATTATTTTTAAAAACTTTTTGTAGACACAGGGTCTCACTGTTTTGTCTAGGCTGGCTTCAAACTCCTGACCTCAAGGGATTACCCCACTTCACTTCCCAGAGCACTAATTCTACCCTCTTTTAATTTATTTCTTTGTTATCAAATTTCTCTCTGAATGCAAATCTTTGCATTCATTTGTTTATAAGTTAATTGTCCTTTTTAACTCTGTGTTTATGTCTGATCACTGTTCATAAAGATGAGTGCCCATTTCACATGACCCGGAAGAGCTTTGGTCCTAATGACTCAAGAATTCATCCATTTATTTCATTGTCCAAAAATAATTTATTAAATGCCAACTGTGTACTTAATAAAGCCCATGCTAAGCACTATAGGAAATGCAAAGAAGCATATTACGCCCCAAAGTTTATCCTCTGGTTGAAGAGATGAGATGCAGCTTGAAAATTCATTACTTTTTTTTTTTGAATTGGAATCTCACGTGTCACTCAGGCTGGAGTGCAGTGGCATGCTCATGGCCACCCCAGTGTTGAACTGCTGGGCTCCAGCGATCCTTCCACCTCAGCCTTCCAAGTAGCTGGAAGTACAGGCATGTGATATCACACCCAGCTAATTTTTGATTTATTGTAGAGATGAGGTCTCGCCAAGTTGCCCAGATGGGTCTCGAACCCGCGGACTCAGGCAATCCACTTACCTCGGCCTCCCAAAGCACTGGGATTACAGGCTGAACCACCAAGCCCGGCTGAAAATTCATTACTTAATTGGGTACTTTATGCAAGACAATGAAAATCTGAACCTTTCAAGGCAATGCTTGATCAAAGACTAAGTGACTTTATGACAACAAGGCTGTTGTGTTCCCAGAGGACACAGAAATTCCTAAGGGCTCCAGGGATTGAGAAGGTGGTTGAGGGCGCTGGAAATGGAAACTGGTCTCACCACATAACTGAGACTTGAAGAGGAGCAGAGAGAGCATCTCCAATAGATGGTGCACAGCCATGCGGTCTCTAAGAAGAGTGAGATCAGACTAATTAGGGAGGAAGGTTTCAAAAGAAGTGCAGGTGAGGTCAAAGAGTGGGCTGAGGTCAGACTGCAGGTAGCTTTGATTGCTGGACCAAGGACCTTGACTCTTTCCCTGTGTGTTTATGGAGGAAAATGACTTAATAAGAATGGTATTTTAGAAAGATGATCCAAGTAATGATAGGGAGACATTGCTCATAATTAGGCCATTACCATATCAATGAAGTCATGAGCTGGTAAACAACAAAGGCAGAAAGGTAGAAAACAGCCATGGCGCCTGTAGGCCTGAGCTTCCACAGGTGCACATTGGAATCTGCTGTGGAACACCCCCCACCACATTGCCCCTCATTTTCCTGCCTCTTCCTTTAGGTTTCCTGCCATTCCTGCATCCATACTGTACCCCCCCCCCCCCCCCCCCCCA